CACTCTGCTTTTATTTTGACGCCTCGGAGGCCGTAGCCTTCGGGAGGATCCAGATGAATGATGTAACCAAAGACAGGGTCTGCGAGTGTGGAACACAGTGTGTCTACCCGAACATAAATAAAGACACAGGCTGACCATGAATATAGATTTGTGAAGTTGAAGGAGTTGTTTATGCAAAAGTCACATTCGTTTCCTGAAGAGTCGATGTAAAGTGACAGGCAGAGGGGTTTCCGAGGATTGGACGTGCGTTAAAGCTTCAGGACGAATATAAACCACGACTTCCAAGGTGCCAACAGCTAGCGGAAGCTAAAGATTACACTTTGTAGAAACCTGGTAATATATTCTGCAGTTTAACTCAGTCTTCAGATTCTGGGTCAGTGTTAGGTCAAATTTGGATTTGGCTTTGGCTAAAAGCGCTATCTAAATACAGGCCATTAAAATTCAGCAACTAAATCCCATTTCAGCCACGTGCTTCGTTACATAAATGTGCTGGAAATTTCTCAGTCTGGTGTTTGTATAAACCCAAGTCATGATGGCAATCTTGGCTGCTAACGGTAATGGTTGGACCACAGTTTCCCCTATTCTCTGAGTGATGAAGATAAGTATGTAGCCTGTCAGAGCACTTGTCTTCTTTAATATAGTTATTTCCAACTTAATACTGTATCTTTCAGGAGCCAAACAACACGTGAAAATTACAGATTTTTAAAGAAATAATGGAAAATTTATATAACAAAGACCGATTAATGTAGTAGTGGGTGGCACTTACGAAATCACTGAATATGTAATTTTACATTGCAACATTTCTAATATTATAGGTTTAATTTTCTGGAAAAAAATAACTGCTTATGGAAAAAACTGGTAAATCCAGCTAATTGAATACCTGACAAAACAAGTTACCCCCATATAAAAATCCAATGCCATAAAGCTGTCCTGCTCATTCATGTGCAACATTGCACTTTATGGTACACTCAGACATACTGACGTCATAAATGCAACAAACCGTATATCAAAATCTACCACAGTTGATGTATAATTTCGTCTAGCACCACCTGGACGATGACATTTCTGGTTTAGAGTGAATGCTGCGACAACTATTGGATGTACTGACATGTACATATTGCAATATTATTAAACTACACATTAAACCTCTATAAAATCATTACTTCAACATATAGACAAAGCTTAGAAAACGCACCGCTGTCCTTCAGGCCGTTCTCCTCAATGGTCATCTGCTCAGCCAGCTCAGATAGGGACTCGTCAATGGTGTGGCTGCCTCGTAGTGTCTGAGAGAGGCGCCGCTTGAAGCGCTTCATCTTCTCCATTGAGCTCTCGGGAAGGGGAGGCCTAAGGAAGACAAATAAAACAATATATATTTGGAACTCCGTGTAAAAATCAATATATATAAAAAACAATATATATTTGAAACCCCATGTAAGATAATGATGAGAGTAGATACAGCTTGTTTTAGTTACAGAAGAATGCTCCCACCATCTGTAAGCTGCAGTGTTGATGCGGGCCTTGACATTTCACTGATAAAATCTGTAACGTAAACTGCCTTTAATTCAAAAGAATACACCTCATCTGCCTGCAGCCATGTTTCACAATCTCACATATAGAGTCAAACTGAAATCGAAGCCGCTGTTTGATCACCAGGTATCTGACTCTGCGACCAATCAGCACTCTGACGTTAATTATGACTCAGCTCATTCAGGCACATTACTTTACATTCCTCCCCCTGGGAAAACATGACAAGTCGGTGAAAGATTCTTACGGGTGAGTTTGGTGTACGGTTCCTGGCACACCGGACTGTAAAAGCAAATCCTAAACCAGGGGGATTTGCTGGTGAATAGAGCAGGACTAGCCTGAGCCACATCGAGTCCACATCACACATTCCAGCAGCATTTACTGTGTGCATGAGAGTAACATATTGTGAGAGCTAGAGACAGTGTGTGTGTGTGAGACACAGAGCGAGGGAGAGAGAGAGAGAGGAAAAAGATCTTAAATCAAGACTGAAGATATTTGGGAGAGTTTGGCAGGAGCCGATTACAAGCAGCCTCTCCCCTGCGACCTAGATGTGGAGATCATGACTCCACTGCTGCAGATCTGGACAAGTGTCTGTCTGTCTGCGACAATGATGACTAAAGCCAGACATGAAAACACATGAGTAGTACATCTCCCCAGGCCTCGCTCCCTTCCCTAGTGACAGCCTTTTGTCTTCCAAATATCACTCATAACCTGAATTCTGTCCAGAGATGAAACTTACTCACTCACCCAGAGCCATAGTGGAAAGTATTAATTGCCTTTGGAGAAGACAGAGTAGGGTTGAAACTAAGTCTACTTTGGCATGCAGGAACAAGTGTCCCAAATCTGACTGTTTTGCTCGTGTGTGACTCAGATCTGTGTGTTTTTCATGACAGTGTGAACAGTCACTGATCTCAGTTGTTTGTGATTTGGAATACTTTTTATAAAATCCAATCAGATACAGGTCAGACTTTTTTTGCACTTTTACAGCACTCGTGATCGACGTTTGTCACACGGGTCGCTTCGAGACTGTGACCTGTTTACACAAGAATCTGATATGGGCCACATCTTAAAAATAATTTCAGCCAAACCCAAAAAAAAAAACTGATCTGAGTGCTAAGACCTACAGTGTGAACGTAGCCTAAGGTTTGTCCTCTAATTGTTGATGATTTGAATCATAAGTTCCAGCATACTTGTTTTTGATTGTTGTCATTTTTCTCCTGTCCGCACTGGCTGCCAAGAGATCGCTTCAGTACTCATTCTGTGTACAAATATTTTCAAAGCTCAGCAAGAGGAAATATGAGCCTTCAGTAGTGACAAACAAAGTAGAGATTGATTTGTGTAACTCAGACTGTTAAAGCCTCATAACATCTTCAGCTAACTGAACTCAAACTGTTCCCATCACTTCCACTGGAATCGCAGTGGATAGGGATCTCTTCTTGGCCAGTATTAAAAGAAAAAAAACACATGAACCAATCCTTAAAGAAGCCTTGATTTTAACTTAATTTTGAAAGTCAACTTTTTCCCTCCATCACTGACGGACTACAACTTGTTTCAAAATAGGGCTGCAACTAACAAGTTTCATTAGGAATGAATCTGTCAGTTGTTTCTTCCATAAAAGGTTAGTCTATCTCTAAGTTCCAAGAACCCAAGGTCATGTCTCCAAATGATTTGTTTAGTCTAATCAGCAGTTTATGACCCACACACATTCAATTTACAACAATATGGCACCAAAAAGCAGCAAATCCTCACATGTGAGACGCTGGAAATAAAAGGAGTTTGGCATTTGTGCTTGACAATGATGGATCTTTTTTAACCTTTATTCATTCAGGGAAGGTTCACTGAGACTATTTTGCAGGAATGCCCTGATCTCATTCGTTACACACATTCATACCAGTACAACCACAGTCTGATCTGCTGGCCAATGAGCAGCTCCACTGGATTGGTTGGGGTTAAGGGCCTTGCTCAAGGGCAATTCCATGGTGGTAACGAGGGAGGGGCTTTTCCACTTTCCCCTCCCAGATTCATCCTGCCGGTCCAGCAGCAGCCAATCACTGAACAAAACTGTTTTTCAAACATAGAACTTGAAGTTCACATGAACAGCCCATAAAAAGTACACTATCTGGGGTGAGAAATAGGCCATGCGGCTGCTGCATCATGTGTAGGTTTAGAGCTACAGAGGTTGGTTTAAAAAGGTTTGTACTCAGTTTTAGGAGGCAGTGAGCCTGCCCCCATTTCCCTCCACACAACGGACAGCAGCAACCGTCTGTCTGAACTGGGCTTATGGCCAAAGCAAACTGGGACAGTGCAAAGACAAAATACTAAATGGTAGATCATGAGCACTGTAAATACACAAGGAAACTATATATATTAGCAACTTCAGATAGCAGTGAGGTGGCTGGCAAGTCTGACTCTGAATACCCAAAAATCATGTAACATGACAGTTAAAAGCATCCAGGACATCCTCTCTCTCCCTATGCTTCTTAGCGCTCTGTATCAGCAAAAAAATCCTCCATCCACATCAAGCATCGTCTAATTCAGGTCCAATATTCACTTTGTATATTTTAGCTCCGTTCTTGGTCTCCACCAACTCCTGAGGGAAATATGTGGCTCTTAAGCTGCTAAATGCTCCACTACTCACTGACTGTGTCTGTCTTTGTGCTGGGCAGGTAGCATACAGTCAGTATTTAGAGCCCTTTAGCTGGAACACAGCTGCCTGCTGTAACACTTTGAGAGAGGACGGTTAAACAATGAGCACTACAAGCCCCTTTTGATACAAAAATATACTGATTAACGCCACACAAGGACATGAAAAAGAACACTGGTACTGTTGGACTGATTTTGGGGTCCAACTTTTATTTTCGGATAGGATACATTTTGTAGTTTGGTGCTTTAGTCTGAATTGGAAAATACCTACAAGGGATAGAGCACTCTTTTCCACTACAGCCATGTTTTTCCAATTTAAACTGGTCAGAATACATATTATTACGTAATAATAATAATAATAATCTTGCCATGCTTTGTGCAGCTTCCATCCTACATCTGTGCTCTCAGTCAAGCAACGACAAGGCAAAACATCAACTCGACTGTCATAATAGCTTCACATCAGTCATGAAACATCAGCTCCAGCAAGGGCAAGCAGACTGTCATCTCCTGAACAGCTCGCTGTGTTACCGCTCTCCTTACGCACAGCCTGAGACATGTGCTGGAAAAAGTACACTGGTGCAAAAACTTTATTCACCACTCTTCAAGGGTGCCCTGAACAACTAACCCATCACAACATTGGTGATTTAATAGTCTCTGCATCACAGTTATGGGTTTGCAGTGTTTTTCCCCCCACAGCAAGCAACACACCGGTACACACAGTCCCCAGCATGTTTTAGATTTCTGATTAGACCAGAAATTAGTCAGTGAGTCAACAGAAAATGTATCTGGAACAATTATGAAAATCCATTCATTAAATGTGAGGACTCACTGCTTTTCTATATCATTTATTCAATATAAATTGAATATATTCAGGTTTTGGAAGGCTGGACCAAAACAAGACATTTAAAGATGTCACCTTAGGC